CTTCCCACCAAAACCAGTCTGTGATCCCACAGTTGTTTCAGGCACGGGAAGGAGCACTGCCGGGGAGCAGAGCGGAGAGGCTGTGGGGTCTGAAGATGAGCCGGGTGAGCAGGACCTACCCGAGTCCAGACTCTGCTCGCTCCCTGCTCACGTGCCTGCTCGGAAGGCAGACAGACCTGCAGCAGAACAACACCCCTGTTCTCCCCCCAGTGCCCCTTTACCTTTTTATTTCCTCCTCCGGGGACGTGGCTGATGTTATCTAAGGACCCGATTTTCGATTGCACCTTATCTTTGAAGTCCAGTTTCTCAGATTTCACCTCCACCTGGCCACCGCCTGGAAGAGAAGAGCAGGAGCTGGGTTGGCTGAGGTCAGAGCTGCTGCTCTGGGGCTGAGGAGAGCGTGAGGACCAGGAAAACGGCAGCAGAAGGGACCCCACGGTGATTTGGGAAAGCCAGGGGCCAGGGCAAATGGGAACCAGGGTAAAAACTCTCCAGAGGATGCTGTGGAGAGCTGACAGACATCCCGGTGTTACAGAACCAGGGGCGGGGAGCTAAGCTTACTCCCCCCAAGACCAGCAGCCCTCCCTGTTTATTCCTAAGTAATTCCCACTTCCAGTGACATGTTGGCACAGAACAGGGGGTCCATGGATCACGCAAGATCCCTCCCCTACTATTGAGTGGTCAGACAGATCGGAGAGGGTCTGGCCGTGACGGAGCTGGGAAGAGCCCCCCAGAGCTCCCTCGGATGCTTCGGTCACCATTCCAGTGCCTCCCCTCGCTCCCTGCACTCCCCCCCCTCCCCCTCCACACCACCACACAAGCTCCCATGGACCGACACCGGGTGCTGCGGGGTCAGAGGGTACCTGGTTTGTGATGGATGTTGCCCAGGGAACCACATTTGGATGTCACATGGCTCAGGTCGACCGGCTTGTAAACGATTTGAACCTGTCCGTACGAGAAAGGAGAAGGCGATGAGCTCACTGCCACCACGGGCGGCCTGGGGAGGGGGAGGCACAACACACCCCGGCACCTCGTCTGGATTGAAGGGAAAGGACAGCTTAAACCCCGGAGAGATTAATAATAACGGCAGAAACTGTCATCGGAAACGGGAGATCATTAATGCCCGTGTGCAGGAGCCTCTCTTAACATGTCAGCATGCACAAGATCACCGCTCCACAGAGAGGGGGGTAGAGGCAATTTTAAAGTGCTTAAGTGAGAGAGAAAGTGGAGTGGTAATTAATTAAGATTTGCATACACATCATCCGAAAAGAGGAGATATACCAGAGAGAAAACGTAAAAAATAAATACCTTTTCTGGTGTAAAACATAAAGCTTATGTCCACAAAAACTGAAAGAACAGAAATGATCAATGTGCACAGAACTTTTAAAAGAGTGACCAAAATATGCATTTCTGAAAAACGCTGTAACGGAAACACGGGTTAAAAGAAAGCAAAGCAAAGTCCAGAAGTCTGGCAGGAGATCAGTGAATACAGATCAAAGTGGCAATTCCCATGTGCTGAACGACCACAGCATCTCCCGACATTCCGCTCGGGGTTTGAGCTGTTCTCCGAGCACGGGCTCCAGCGACGCCGCCCGCTCCGAGACCGGCCGCGGCGTGCGCGCGGACAACCGGGTTACACGGGACGCACACACAAGGGACGGTTAACGGGGGGGCTGTTTAGTGGTTACGTTAGCGGTTCAACACCACACTGGAAAACACCGACGGCTGGAGAGGGCTGGGACCACAGCGCACACACACCAGCTACATCAGGAGCAGGACAAGGGGGTGAGAAAACATCCCCACCCACCCCCCACCCCCAAGTTACCTTGGACCCTGGTTTTGGGCTCACACCTGGGTGTGAATCAGCTTTTGCTGTAGTTAGTGGGGCTGAGGAGGAGAAATCGGGTCATCGACACCTCAGGGTTGGATCCTACTCGCTGGGAAGTGGCCGGCTCTCAGTAACAGCCTGGATTTCAAGGGGAGCGTGCGCGGCTCGCCGTGTGTCCACCGAGCCCCACGGCGGGCGTGCTGCTCTCACAAACCTCGGGAAGGGTGTGCCAGCACCCAAGGAACCTTTGCAGAGTTGCTGACCCTCCCAGGCAGCCTCCAGACCAAGGTGGTGGGAAGCCAGCCCAGGATTCCCCGTAGCCACGGCTCCTGCATCAGCCCCAGCGCCCTGTGCCGACCCAAACGCCGCGGGGCGAAGGCGCATCCTTCAGTTCCCATGTCGGCCCCATCTCCCCAGAGCCCGGTGTTGGACTGTGCACAGCACGGAGAAACGCTCCCCGCTCCGTCATGCAGCCAGGGAAGGTTGGGGGGACACACAGAGAGGATCAGTTCCACCACCCCACCAGCACCGTGCACGTGGGCCTGCCTTGTCCCCGACGCTCACGCACAGCAAACGGCACGTTTGACAGAGGGAGGAGACGGAGAGGGGGGAGAAGAGCAACCCCAGGGTCTGGGAGCACACGGCAGACGCAGACGTGAAGACAGGTTTGGGGGAAGACCACACGCTTAGTGCACTGGGCAGGAGCTGGATTCAGGCAGAGGGCAGGAACCTTTCCAACCCCATGGCCCAAAGGGCCTGTGAGCATTTCAGGCACCACCGGGACCTGGGATGGCAACACCTCCCATTCCCAGAGCAAGCAATCAGCGACACAAACACCCTGCTCCCATTCCTACAGCCAGGACTCCATCCCGCTGGGCAGCAGAGAAGGGTCCTCCCTTCTGAGCAAGAAAGGAGCAGGGACTCAGTTGCTCGCCCGGGAAACCAGTGCCAGAGACCTGGGGATCCCGTCTCTCAGCATCAGCGACGCCGAGCTCAACGTCTGCCCAACGCATCACCTTGTCAGAGCATCCACTGGCTTAAAAAAAGAGCTCCAAGCCCGCACCCAGCGCCAAGCTGCTGCTTTCCGTGTCGACGCAGGCAGGCAGCGGTCACACGCTTCCCACTGCTGGCAGAGCCTGGGGATGGGATGGCAATTTCCAGCCAAAAATCCAGATAATCCTTAACCCACCGCAGCAGCAAACGCTTGCCCACGGTGTGAGCTGCAGGGGGAGAGGAGGAGGAGCCCACCACCCCGTGCTGACGCTCGTTACCAGCCACAGCACAGAGGACTCGTGGGGAGCGCTAACTGGTGCCGTAACAAGCCATCCAGCACACACCGGGCAGCCCAGCCGGCGCAGGGCCCGGGAGTGAGGAAGCCGGACAAGCACGGAACCTGCTTCCCAGAGGCCTGACCTCCGCAAAGCAGCTCCTCTGGCTCCTTAAACAAAGGCAGGATGACATCAAATTTAGGATGGAGGTTGCAAACCCGTGCCAAGCCCTCTGCAGCGCCGTTTCTCTGGGAAGGCATCCACAGAGAGCAAAACCGGTGCAGAGAAATTCTGTGGGCAACATCTGAGGGACACCGGAGAGCTGCCTCCGATGGCCCTGGGTCACACTGTCTGGGTGCTCAGTGATGCTCCTTCCTTGGTCCATCATCTTTCCTGGACCCAAACTCTGTCTCCAGGGAGAGACCCAGTTTCTCCAGGTTTCTGGCACAGTCAGTGAAAGCTGAGGCCGGCTATTCGGCTGGGAATGGCTGGAAACGCCGGCATTCAAACCGATTAACTCCACGATACTTTAGGCTGAGGCTCCGTGGGCACTGCCTGACACGCACCGGACACATCAGCAAGGAGAAGCTTAAGGCTTGCACGGAACGTACTTGCCTGGCGGGAACGGGCAGGAACGTGCGCTTTCAGGTCTTGCGCAGAGCCGCGTGCGATTTAGCGGCACACGAAGCCGTGAGGACTGCGTCTGTTTAGGAATCTACCCACCTACTGCATCAGCAGCTACGGCACTGTCTGCCAGAGCCCCCCATCCTGCAGACAGTGAGGCATTCAGCCTTCCAGGTAGTGTAAAACCTTGGAGTTAGGGGGATGTTTTTGTTACGGACGTGGTTTCTACGCAGGTCAGTTAGTTCTGTCCATGTCAGGCATGTACAGGACTCGTTAGGGTTCATCTAGCCACGTCGTTGGGGTTAAAGGGTTAGATGACAGCACGTCACCGATGGCTATCTGAGGCAGGGTCGCTGCAGATAGCATCGGCGGTTTAGCGTATACAACATGCCACTAACGATGAGGATTATCACAGCGCGTTCAACGTGTGAAGGTACTCACACTGCCTCCTCCCGGGATGTGTTTGATATTATCCTTTGAGCCACACCTGGATTGAACGCTGCTAAAGTCCAACTTCTTATTAACAATCTGCACCTTTGGTAGCCAGAAAAGAGTCATTGCACGTCACCAATAGCTATCTGACGGCAGGGTCGCTGCAGATAGCATCGGCGGTTTAGCGTATACAACATGCCACTTAGAATAAGAACTATTATAGTGCATTGAAAGTGTGAAGGTACTCACACTGCCTCCTCCCGGGATGTGTTTGATATTATCCTTTGAGCCACACTTGGATTGAACGCTGCTAAAGTCCAGCTTCTTATTAATAATCTGCACCTTTGGTAGCCAGAAAAGAGCGTGAGAAACAACATGACCATCTGCAGCTTGACTGTGCGGTACATCACTCAACCCAGGAACCTGCCTGCCAGGGCCAAGAGCAAAGGAGAATTTCTGGTTTGCTGCACAGATTTGTCGGGAAACTGGAGATGGAGGTGGGCAGGTTACAGCGAGAGATCGGGCACGTCTGGCTAGCACGCCCGCCCGGGTTTCCAGGGCAGAAACACGGGCACAAAACCCCAGCTCACCCCGTTTTCTCCCATCGAAGAAGACGGGGAAGCTGTTGGGAAGCAAACAGGCTGGACGGCACCAGAGGGCTGAGACTCGGCTTCTGCAGAGCCAGCAGAAGGAGGAAGGATGGAGCTGAGAGAAAAATGCCGGCTCAGCCCCAGCTCCCGTGCTGGGCACCACGTCCCCTCTCCAGGACGGAGACAGGCAGCCTGGGGTCTCAGCAGCTTGAGCAAAGCGGGCGGGCCAGGGCAGCGGCCGGAGCGAGGAGCTGTGCCCAGCACTGGCTGGGAGGGGAGGCCGAGCTCTGCGCGCGCAGGGCTCAAACCCCTCTGCAGCGACACAAAGGAATGCTGCCAGGGATGCAGCCCCATGCCTGCAGTTGCCTGAACTCCTTGACAGGGGCAGCACAACCCCAAACTGCTCTGTCGCATGTTCCTAACGCCGTCTCAGGTGGGAGAGAGGCTGGAGATGGCTCGGTGCCACAGGAAAACCACATACCATGCTAACTCCACCCTCCCAAGGCCTGTCCACCCTCTCCCCACACACAGAGATTTTTGGACTCATTAATGTTTCCCTTTGGGGCTTGTTTCCCCTGTTGTCTAAGGGCAGCTATGCTGGAGTGACCCCACACGTGGGAGCAGCTATTCCAGAGAGGACAAAGATGAAGACAGTCCCTGCTCCTTCCCCTGCGTGGATCGACTGGCTTTAGGATCAATGCCGGTGAAGACCAGCAAGCACACAGGCGTCAGGAGAAAGCCCGTCTGGAGCACCATGCTCAGGAGGGAGAGGCAGCATCCTGCAAGAAAGCAGCATCCCAAAGCTGCATGTGCAGGCCCTGGATGGCACCCTCCAAGCAGCTGGATGAGCAGGCACCCTCGTCCCGCTTTTCCCATGTCCCCGGCCTGCTACAAGAGCTCCAGGCTGGCTCTTCAGCATGAGAAGCTCCAGGGCTGGCATGTGCCTCCAGCCTCACTTCCCAAGTGTACATCAACTAATCCTGCAAATCGGGATCCAGTTCTGCTAGACCAGGCTTTGCCAGACCAGTACTCGGGGATCTACAACAACAGAAGCGCTCAGAGCTGACTCCTGGTGCGCGTGCCCCGTGTAGCTCTGCTTCCCTAGCCTGGGGCTGAAATCTGCATGGAGAGTAGGCTCCGGACTCATCTTCCGGCCTCCCTAAAATCAAACTCCTTGGATCAGCCCCTTCTGCCCCAGCTGCAACCGTGCTAAGAGCAGCCTCGTGTCCTACAAAAACCCCGACAGAGCACCCAGCCGTTCTCCCCTGCCAAGAGCAATGAACTGTCCCACATTCGGCTGTTCTCACTCTTTCAGTGACAACAATAAACATGTTGCCCGAGGGAGAAAAAAAACTGTAAAAACTGGATTAAAAAGAACAAGCAAGAGATTTAACTGATTTACAGTAAACGGAGGGGTTCCTTCCAAAATCCCTGGAAAGCAGGGGTTTGTGGGGGCAGCAGGAAAAACTGAGGTCTGTGCTAAGCAGGCAGGAGGGCTGAGGGCCCCGGACGTGGGCGGCTGGAAGGACACGTGCTGCTTTGCTCATGCCCAATGGCCTGGGCAGCCGTGCCCAGGTTCCAGAGCCCCCCTGGATCGCAGCCCAAGGAAATGCACTTTGTTTGGTAGATTGAGATGGGACATCAGGAAGAAATTCTTCCCGCAGAGGGTGGGGAGGCCCTGGGACAGGTTGCCCAGAGAAGCTGTGGATGCCCCATCCCTGGGAGTGTCCAAGGCCAGGCTGGATGAGGCTTGGAGCAACCTGGTCTAGTGGAAGGTGTCCCTGCCCATGGCAGGGGGGGGGGCTGGGTGGGCTTTAAGGTCTCTTCCCACCCAAACCATCCCATGGTTCCATGAAACTGCCAGCCACGGTAAAACAGGTGAGGAAATGGAAAAGCACGCTGCTGTTTCAGATGGTGAAGAGAAACCATCTCGAAGCCTCCCCCCATGCCAACATCTAATGTTCAGACCCATGGCCATCCCACCAACGGGCACGCGCCACGCTCGTGGAGCAAGGGCTGCCAGGCAGCGTCCCCCCGGGCAGGCGAGGACAAGCACAGGGGGACTCTGCATTGGCCATCGGAGGAGCAGCTCTGTCATTGAACGTCTGTCAGAGCCACCGGGCCTTCCCCGGCAGAGGAACCACGGGCTTTCATGTCTTAAATGTACAGCAGGGAGGATTCTGTAAAAGCCTCAGGACACACAGCGCAAGGGAGCAGCGCAGAGGCTCCGCAGGGGGGCGGCGCGGGTGGAACCACACAGCGCTGCTCCTGGGGCTGCACGGATGAACTGGCTCACACCGCTCCCTCACCCGAGCTCTCTGCTGGGCTCACCCCATTTAACACGAGACCCTCGCTCCCGAGCAGCCGGAGCACAGAGTTCACGGTGCTGCTCAGGAAACAGCCTCTGGGAGGGAGAAGGACTAGTGAAAGGGTAGTAGTGCCACCGGTTCTGGCTGTGCCACACTGCATCTTGTAGCAAGGCGGTGCCTGATCCCAAACACAGTCCCAAACCTTGAAACGGAGCTGGATCCAAACTCACAATGTGCTGAGAAACGTTCCGAGCCGGGGACCCTCGCGGGGAGCAGGCCATCCTGGCTGCTCGCTAGCGAAGACGCGGAGGCAGCGTCGAAGGGACTGCTCCAGATCAGACAGTACGGGACTGAGAAACACAACCCTGATCCCACGACTCCTCAGGGCTCCAGGCCCCAGTTCGCTCTCCCTGATCAAACACCACGTGGGAATGTCATCCCCTGGCAGCCAGTCCGTCTGCTGACGTGCCACCCCGCAAGCTCTCCGCAGGCTCTGCGGGACGGCTGTGCTGCACTAGGCCGGGCAAGCGGCTTCAGGACAAGCACCCAACCCCATCAGCCCAAAACACCCCAAAATGAGAGTCAGGCTGGAGACGAGCTGAAGCTACTGTGTCTCTGGCCCCAGCGGGGCTCCTGCCGACCCAGGGAGGGTTCTCCTCTCCCAGACGCGGCACCGAGCACCCGCTGTCCCTTCGGACAGGCCCCTGGAAAGCAGAGTCCACCTTTACCTTGCCACCTCCGGGCTGGTGCTTCAGGTTTTCGGTCGAGCCGATTTTGGACTTCACGTTTTTCAGATCGGGCATGGGTGCGGCTGACGGCTGGATGCGGCTCTTGGCAGAGGCGGGAGATTTCGGTGGTGTGCGAACCACTGCCACCTTCTTGGGCTCCCTGGCTGGTGGGGTGGGCAGAGAGGGAGTGCGGGAACGGCTGCCTGGAGTCCCGGGGGAGCCGGGACTGCTGTAACCGCTTCTGTCTCCAGACTTTGGCTGCTCACCTGAAGTTTGCAGACAGAGGGAGGTGAGCACAGGATAAGCAAGCGGGGTGCGTAAGCCCTTCCCCACTCCCTGCCCGCCTTTACGGAGGGGAACTGGTCCCAGGGCCCGCCCGCTACTCCCAGTGTGGACCATCACCGGAGGGGGGGATGGATGCTCTTTCTTCTACTTCAGTTTGGAGTGAAAAGTGTGATTAAAGGCCATTTCCTCGTATCTTGGAAGGAAGATGGTCTTCATTGTCTGATCATCAACTCCCCACCCGCGCACGACATTGGAGACATCCAAACAATACTCTTCTATGTGAAATTTGGAAATATTTTTACAAAATTATTTGATGTCATTAAATAAGGTTGATGACTGAGCAGCCTAGAACTGTCCCCACTGGCAAGAAATGGAAGAAAACCCTTAAACATCACCTTTCTCAGACTTTGCAGCTGCCGGAGGTGGTTTTTTCTGCTCCTTTCTGCCTGTTTAATGAATGAGAAAGATGCTTAAACACATTAAAGCTGGAAATCTAATTGATTTAAGGTTTTATGAAGCTCTGGTTAAGTATGAAAAATACATATATTCAGTGAAATGCACCATTATAATGGAAATTCACAGTGCCTGATGCTTTCTGGGGTTTTCTTCTCTGAGCATAATGGGCTAATCTCCATTCCTGCAATCGAAGAATTGATCCTCTTGCCCCTGGTCTTTGTGAAATATTGTCAAGAGAAAAGCAATAGATGGATTAAAAATATGGAGCTGCCTAAATCTTCCGAATTGGAGGAAATCCCAAAGGGATAAAGCAACTGCCCTCTCCTACACACTGGCAACTATGTGAACAGAGCAGATAAAGGAGCATCCAGAAAGGCTGGCTTCGGAGGAATCGTCCCCAGCTCTGCACCCGCAGTCCCGTGGCAAGTCTGGGCAGCTCCGAATCCCCCCGCAGCCCTCTGTCTGCTTAGCGCTGCGCACAGCCCCGGCCTGCACGGGGGCATATTTCTTCACTACCCCCCCATAACTGCACAGAGCTGGGGAGTGCCACCAAAGCAGGGCCGCAGAGCCGGAGCCAGCTCAGGGAAACAGCATCCCGCCGCTCTCGCCATCACTTACCGGAGCTGGGAGGTGTTTTGGGGGCCGTGGGTGTCTTTGCCGGGATGCGCGTGGCATTGGTCGAGTTCCTCTGAGCCTGCCCAGCTGCAGACCGCGGCGTGGCCGTCTTCGTGCCACCTCTCATCTCCGGGCCCTGGGGAGGCGAGGGGGAAAGGCTGATGCAGAGGGGATCTGCTGAGGGATGGGCTATCACCCCGCACAGATCAGAGCCACACAGGACCCTCCTTCATCAGAGCTTGGCAGCCCACAGCAGCTCCCACAGGTCTCCCCAGATGCAGACATCTGTGACGGGCCTGTCCGCACCCCGTGTCCCATCACGGCGCCTGCCACAACCCCTGCGCAGTTAGGCGTGGGCTAGCAGTGGCCGTGCCACTTCCCCAGGGGAGCTCTGAGCTCTGGCTGCGTGATTCACCGCACACTCAGGACCGGTTAAAGAGTACGTTCAACTCCCTTGTCTGTTCTCTAAATTTCACACAATCACAGACTGGTTTGGGAAAGGACATTAAAGCCCCCCCAGTCCCACCCCCTGCCATGGGCAGGGCCACCTTCCACTAGACCAGGTTGCTCATCCAGCCTGGCCTTGGACCCTTCCAGGGATGGGGCATCCACAGCTTCTCTGGGCAACCTGTCCCAGCGCCTCCCCACTCTCTCCGGGAAGAATTTCTTCCTGATGTCCCATCTCAATCTCCCTCTTTCCATTTAAACCCATTTCCCCTTGTCCTGTCACTCCCTGCCCTTGGAAAAACTCCCCTCAGCTTCCTTGTAGCCCCCCAGGCACTGGAAGGTGCTATAAGGTCTCCCCGGAGCTTCCCTTCTCCAGGCTGAACCCCCCAACTCTCTCAGCCTGTCCCCATGGCAGAGGGGCTCCAGCCCTCGGAGCCTCTCTGTGGCCTCCTCTGGACTCACTCCAACCGGTCTGTATCCTTCTGATGTTGGGGGGCCCATCTCAATCTCCCTCTTTCCATTTAAACCCATTTCCCCTTGTCCTGTCACTCCCTGCCCTTGGAAAAACTCCCCTCAGCTTCCTTGTAGCCCCCCAGGCACTGGAAGGTTCTGTAAGGCTGCTTTCATCACTTTGCTTCCCCTCTTCTGCTAAAATTTTGCACAGAAGAAAAACAAACCCCTGGGCTAGAGCAGAGGCTCCACTCAGGAATGCAATGCCACTCCCAACCCAGAGAAGCCCCTCCTTTACCCCCCCTGCAATAACTACAGTAACACCTACACCAACTGTAGTGCATTCAACACCAATTTGCTATTTATTGTTTTCTCCTGCAGAAAAGCCTCCCCAGACCTATCGCTTTCTGGTGCCGGTCTGTGGACAAAAGGTCTGCGA